TAATTTAAAAGTGCATGTACTTACGTTTTCGTCCTCCATGAGAAACTCTGGTAGAAACGGGTCAGAGTTTTTGCAACAAGGCATCCTCGTTGACATTTTTGTTAGCATCCTGCTTTCTACAGCCATACATGTATCTGTTGTGGTATATGACGTGTCGACGATTGTTTTATTGTGTTATTACTGTAGTGGCTGAGTCAGCAATTAAGCGAAAGGGATACTTAGATGATGTTAATGATAGCAATCATGGGTTCTGAAACACAAGTGGCATCCATTGTCTTGTGAGCTGTTATCGAAAGATATTATGTTTCTCTAAAATGAAGATGATTGTAACAGAAGATCAAACAACAGAAATAAACAAACATGACCTATTCACCGTTTGCATATACTTTTATACGATCACCCTCGGAATATTGGCTTTGTCAAATTCCGATTTTCTACCAGCCATTAAGTTATAAGGTATTCGAGACTCCAAAAACAAATGAAGTAATGGCCCGGCCAGGACAACGCATTTTATGAATGTAGTAGTAGAATTCATATTTTTTCGATCAATGCATGGTAACTGTAGGCCTACTGTATCGTTGAGGTCACCAAAATTGGTAATATAATCCATGTGACGAATTATAACAGTAAGGTAAGAGTATCCATATTTCATTTTTCAGAGATCAGAATTCAGTAACATTATTTTTTGAGTGAATAGCTTTCACATTTCAGACCCCTATATGTTTCAGAATCACTCAATTTAATGGAATCAGGCTTACCGAACTCTCCTGTTGGTCAATGCCTTGAGTTCAGACTTTTTTCTCACTCGTCATTTCCCTTAAAATTGCATCGTACGTTTGAATCCCCGTTAAAATGCTTATTGATGATGTTCTGAATGAAACTAATAAAGCTAATTCTGTAATAATTTTCCAGGAAAGATGCCAAATTTAAACAAGCCGGGATCGGAAGACGTACTAATTGTTGGCAGTAACACATATTTTAATCTGTATTTAGACTATCCAGGATAATTACAAGAAGCCTTCGTTGAAATATGTTAAAAAGTCATAATATAAATAAAGAAATGATTATTTCGAGTGTAGGGCGTTTGTACCTTTATCAATAAGAATCGAGATGGATAATAATTTAGGCTTCCGACGAATTTCGCAGAAGCATTGTCAGCATGTGCTGCTTCGCTAATAAGCAGTTTTTGAGTTAAAAATACATTATGCGAACTTAAATCTTAAAATGTAAAAACGACCCGATTATTAGTATTCCCCCTTTGACCAAATTAGGCGATGACATCCCGTGATATCGTATTGATATGGTAGTGAATGTAGGGCTCCTCGACTACAGGCTTCTAAAACGCAGAACCAGAAAAATGAAACCAATTTTGATGAACAAAGATCAACACGTGTATCTTTCAAAATTCTTACAGAATATTCGAATTGAAATTTGGTTTTAAGCAGACTGATGTCACTCACACTGTTTCCCAAGGATCTTGTGGTCTTTCGGTGCTCATGAGGTTTCCTATTCTTAATCAAATGCGACATCTTTTTTGTTGATTTGTTCTGTTTTTTAATCTATCACACTGTATACGTTATGACTTCAATACTCTGATTCAATTAGTAGCATTTCGGTGGTCATTCATTGGTTCTTGTTCCGCCAAATTTTAAGCATAGTTGTGAATTAAAACTCAGCGAGTAGAACTTCTCTGAATTAATATTAGTAGTCTTACTGAGCTCCTTTATATATATCAGATAAAATTTATGATTTATCTGTCACAATACTGCAAATGTAAGGTGGAATATTGCTGATTTCTTGATTATGGTTGTTCAACCCCCGGCACTCGAAATATAGTCCCGGGGGTTCACTCGAAATAATTTGGGTAAGTATGTGCAGCATGGCCAATTTTGGCTTTGAGCATAAAACATGGAATTTGGCCAATCTGAGAGGAAAAGACATGGAAAAATGTCTAAGAAGTACCATTTTTAAAATTCTATTCAATTCATTAAATCAGTTGCCGATGCTTGGCCGAATCAAAACACTGTTCAGCCATTTTCGACGCGAAAGCGAATCCACAGACTCCACACGCATAGGGACTTACACTACCCTACCACGTGACCACATTTAAAAATGATACAGGGTATGGTTAAGTTGCAAATGGAGCGGGTATTCTCTATCTTTGTCCGTTGGGCTTTTCTGGTAATAATGCGTTGCAAACTGCTCGATGAATCTGTACAATGTATAGTAGAACACTTAGAATATGTGTAAAATCTAGTATACATTCAGAACTATGGAAATAAACAAACGTCCTCCATTTGCAACTTCCCTGTAGCCTGTACTTCTTTTAAAGGAATACAGGATACAGTATGGGGGTATAGTAGTGTGCATATTATTGATGAAAATGATGTGGCATGACAAAATAGGAACATGACATGTTTATCATACGGTCAGATACAGCAATACATTAATATAGTGTTACGACATCTATAAATACAACGTATACCAAATAAATCTAAACAGTAAAACTAGACAAGGCAACATCAGGGCATAGCATAGTGAAATATTCCGTAAAGGGCGGACATGAATACAGCAGTCAAATTTAAATGTTCTATTTTATTCCATTTTTTGTTAATATTTACGATATAAATGCGATTATCAAAAATATTTCAGATTAGGCTACCGAATTGTCAAAACATTAGAGTCAAGTGCAGTAGAACCTGTATATCTGAACACCTGGATAATCCGAACACCTTCCAATTTGAACACTTTTTTCGGTCCCATTCTTTCCTTCCATTGACTCCCATGTTAAAAAAACCTTGAAATTTGAACACCTCCTAATTTGAACAGTGAACAACCAGATTTGAAAAAGTGACCTGTCTAATCTGAACATTTTTATCAGAAATCAACTGTCTGGACATTTCAATTAAAGCCACATATTGAGTCAATGTTGTAGTTGTTATTTATCTTTACATATATACAAATGCAATCAAAGAACCAATCGTCCTAATTAACTTATTTAGTCTCAGTGACATCCCTAATTTATGGAAAACAACAGGATGTTTTGGAAAGGTGTGAATACAGGAGTAAATTGGTTTATCCTATTAGAAAAGAACTGAATGTTTTATGTTTGGATTAAGAGAAAGGTGTGAATCAAGAAGATAATTGGTTTATCATTGGAAATTACCTGGATGTTTTTGATTTGGATTATGAACAGGTCTAAACTGTTTTATGTCCCATGGGTCTGTTCAATGATAGCTAAGATTCAATCAGTAAATGTTTTATAATCACAAAGACAACACAGACGGCATTTGCAGACAAGATTATATCACGAGAAAGAGAATCAACTTCGTAATATCCTATCACTGTCTCCTAAAAAGGCATACATTGGACATCCTGAATGCCCTTGATATTTTGAAGGATTATACAGTACATCATCTCGAATGAACACTCATGAAAAATTCTTTTTAAGAGGATATCTACTCAAATATTGTTAATGCTTTAAGTGCCAATAAACAAACAAGAATGAAGGACTTTTTCAAGCAAAAGTAAAGCAGTGCTATATGACCATAATATGGGATAAGCCATTTGATAAGCATAAAGATTTTGTACGAGACTTACTTTTACTGTGTATTACAAAGTTATTTTTACTAAAGATGAAATTGTTCCAAATATAAATAAACATAGCATACACTGTATAGGCCTATTGTAGAATTAACTCATCAACAACATGTATTGTTTTCTGACTTAGTATTAAGTGTTCATTATAGTGGATTGAACAATGAAAATCCCCTCCCCCGACCAACAAAATCCTCGAAATTTGAACACCTGCCAATTTGAACGCTTTTGGCTGATCCCATGGGTGTTCGGATTAGACAGGTTTTACTGTACACTCAAATTCTCGTGTTTTTCATGCTGGAAGTCTATGGCCAGAAATGTAAAACAAAACATCACTGACGGATTTAACGCCATCTAAAAGATTTAAAGCTATTTAAGGTATCCCGTACATAGGGATGAACTACGTATATTTCTATAATCTGTGAGCTTCATTTTGGGGCATCAATTTAACCCGTATACTCACGTATTAATAGTCACATCCATCATTTTACTATGCATATACTTTGCCTTTTATGACGAGCAACTTCTTGACGACTTTGCCCGAAGGTCATTTGTATTATGCCAATTGGGCAGGTCTTTCTGTTTGAATTAATTCTACCATTTGTCTCCTCGGTTCTGATCGAGTCTCATGATATCCGCCAGTACTTATTAGCATCGATGAAAAAGGAAGTATAAAAAATGTTAAGTTATTACTTCATTTGGGATTTTTATTACACAGAAATAGTACGTATATATGTCACAGTGTATATGGTGATTGTCCATTCATGTCGACGATGCTCGAAATGGATATGAGGGGAATTGGCAGGAGTTCCCCTTTAAACACAGTCGATCATATGATTCTCACAGTATTATATTGCCACAGTAGTCGTACTTATTCAACAAAATCTGGGGTGCTTAAACACAATTGCTATCATTTACTTAGGAGGTTTATTTGTTAGGCAATGTTGTGGGATCGGTAAAGGATTTTTCAGAATCACCGTCCCCGTCCAAATCCAATCCTAGATGCTCTAGATTAATGGCCCCATTATCTATATTTCACAATAAAGCTAATTCAATTCTAGACTTTTTGGCCAAATGTTGGCATGATTGACCATTGGGAATGTAATGTGACATGGTCACGGGCGTGGTCACTACCCTGATTTGCTTTAATAACGCAGTGTTTCCATACTTATTTTTACAATTACTATATTTACTGCGCGGGTTTTCAAACACGACAATATAAATTCAACATTTTTATAACATTCACTAAACAAAAATAAAATATTCAGCTAAGCTTACTATCTCTATTTTTGCGTAGTATGAGAAGAGGATCAATGAATTACTGCCAAATAATTAAGGGTTAATTGTGTTTTCGAATGGGTCTCTTTAACCTTTTAAAGAGTCCGTAGTATAAACTACTACCTAACTAAGACGGAGCTCTCTTTTAAGAAGTGAAGTCGAATGAATGCAAAGGATATTTAGGTGCTACTTTTGTTTGACATTTTCATATTAAGAGCTTTGCCAATATAACATCCTTCATAATAATTATGCGTTCTTATTATCGAAAACATGGCATTGCCTGCTTTCTAAAATCTCTTCCCATTTTCATGTTAAAGCGGATACGACTTGTATTGCACTTTGAACTCTGACATTGCTGCACTATCATATTAACAAGCGATAAACACAAACGCATTACACACAACCACAGTGCTAACTTACACTGCACAGTAGAAATGACTTCCATTGAAATACTCACAAAGGATATTGAAAACATCAGGGACCTGGGGAAAAGATGGGGTATGAACGATGCACAGATACGAAAGTGCCTCTTGGAAGCAGTTGGAGTTAAAGATGATGGGGAAATTACAGTAAAACCAACGTTAAGACATGGAATATTTCAGGCAATGTTGACGAGCATCCTAGTGTTGTTTATTCTTTTTGTGGGACTCTACTTCCTGGTTCAGGTAGGTCAACAGATTTAACAGTCTACTACACTTATAAACTTCATAAACCTAAGCAGAGCCCCGGGGATTCTGTTATACAAAATAATAGATAACCTTTCCAATATTGAGTTTGTGCTTCTTTAAACACTCCTAACTAGAGAAAATCCTCTGAGGTAACGAATCAGAATACTGAGAATATAGTAGATCTAATCCAGCTACCCAATCAAAATAACATTCATTGACTTTTATGTTTTCATAAGTACCTTGCATTCAACTCTCTCCGAGTTAAAACACTAACAGTGTGTATCTATCTTTATCAACGGCAGATCCAAGATGATATCACTGGTGATCCACTCGATTACGCTCGAAGGTACGATTTTTCTTTTTTCCTTATTTCTCACGTTGTAGGTAGAATTCCCACGACATTTTTATCACAAACGTGTATCAGTATCATATGTTTAAGAAAATATACATATTTGCGAACAAATAGTTCAGAAGTCAACAGAATCGTCGATTTAATTCCTCACTAAGGTTACAGAAACGGTATTTCGAAAAACAGTTAAGATCTGCACTTTTAACCCAAACCGTTTATGTAACATAAGTGTTGTTTTCTGAACTATCTGTTCGCAAACATGTGCATTTTCTAAAACATATGATACTGATACACGTTTGTCAGAAAAATGTCGTCGGGATTCTGCCTACAACGCGTGAAATAAGGAAAAAAATAGAAATCGTACCTTCAACGTTCCGACATTTTGTTACCGAAACGGTTCGTTTCGGTAACCAGTGTAATCGAGCGGATCACCAGTGTGAATACTATTGAATCTAACTGGTTGACTAAGTGACACTTTTTACACAGGTACACGAGCCAACAGAACACTTCATAGGGAAAAACCTACAGCATCTCAACTATGACATATTTCGAATCATTAGGCTGGCTGGACTTCCTTTCTTGCACAGGTTTCGATCAATGGAAGGTAAGCTTGTGTTCAGGTGATTTGTATGTACATATTTCCAGGCAATCAGGAAAGACAAGTGAGAGGTAAGGCGACGCTAAGACATCTAAAGAGGATAAGGGTAAAAAATGAGCTCGATCCAAGACCATGACAACTAAAAGAGGACATGGGTTTAAACATGGGTTTGATGCAAGACCATGACAACTAAAGAGGACATGGGTTTAAACATGGGTTTGATGCAAGACCATGACAACTAAAGAGGACATGGGTTTAAACATGGGTTTGATGCAAGACCATGACAACTAAAGAGGATATGGGTTAAACCACGGGCTTAATGCAAGACTATGACAAATAAAGAGGATATGGGTTAAAACATGGGCTTGATGCAAGACTGTGACAAATAAAGAGGATGTGGGTTAAAACATGGGCTTGATGCAAGACTATGACAATTAAAGAGGATATGGGTTAAAACATGGGCTTGATGCAAGACCATGACAACTAAAATACCTTTTGCATTCTAGCGACTTTTGCTTCTTAAAGAGAGCCTCGTCTTGACTCTGCGCGCAGGGTAACAACTAAAGAGGATATGGGTTAAACGTGGGCTTTATGCAAGACTGAGACTACTAATTATATACTGCTTTTTTATATACTGCTACATTTATATACCGCTCATAAATATTACTATACCCTTTGTGTCTTTGTATGCATGTTTCCTCAATTGTAAACAACCATATATTTTATACCTTTATTCTATGTATGCATGTTTCTTTATTGTAAATGACCAATACTCCAGAAGGAGATACGGAACAATAAAGTACTATCTTATCTTATCTTAACTAAAGAGGATGAAACATGAGCTTAGAGACAAGATGCATACGCCACTGCCCATGCATCCTTCACTGGTGATCCGCTCGATTACGCTGGATCCGCCGATTACGCAAGGATATATTTAAGTTTATCGTATGATCTGTAAAATGAAGCCCTCTGATTGGCCTGTTCTTGTGCTGTACCAATCTGTAATTGCTACTGGGATTGTCCCCGTTGATCATCTCCATCGCAATACAGAAAATATTGGTACGCGGGGGACAATCTCAGTAGCAATACAGAGGATCACACGATAAAAACGTTATTGAATGAAACGTTATCTCGATATTCTGTATTAATACGGATACGGAATTTCTCGTGCAGAATATATCCTGTATTGCACTTCAAATCATTTAATAACTTATAGTATTTTATGAATTTAAGCACAATGAAGTCCTTTGAAGAAGGATGCTGCCATAAATGCTTATAAATCGATATTTATAATACTGTTATTATTCCACATAGCAATACTAATAATAGATCGTTATCATTCATGTGTTGATCTTTCACAGGTGCAGTTGAACTTTTTATAGGACGAACATCACAAATTCATATGAATGGCAATAACGATATAATGCTGATGGAAATTACAATTACATGTACATCAATTGACATTTCCTTTAATACCATGTACAAATATCGCGATTGATTAACCCGATGATGAATCCTGACGACGTTTGCCTACTAGTCACCCTAAAATCTTTAAGTGTAACTACGGTTGATGCAAAACGAACAGACAAAAAATTAAGCTAAATTATCCAATTTATCAAGATGAATGACTATTGTTCAAACTATACTTTATTTGATCAGGATCGCAATGGATCGGATCATAGTGAGAATCATCATTGGTCAAAGGGTATTTCACGTCATACCGTGATAATTCAAGATGAACATTTGGCTATTTTCAAAACCTGTGCAACAATTTCTTAATTTTCTGTCCGATTAATGGCTCAAAAATGAAGGAGTGACCTTTTCAAATGGTTGTCTGAAACCTAAAATGATGGTCAATAAAAGGAAAAATACACTTCTTAAACCTGTTTTCCACCAATTCTTCTGCACAATATCCGGTATACTCTTGTGTGTGACTCACATTAAGTGCAATATATGAATTTATTGTAATATCAGTCTTCGACCATATGCATGATACAATTCACATTTTGTGCGATATTTGTATTTATTGTAATTTTTGACCATATGCAACATGCTACTCTCATTTAGTGCAATACATGTATTTGTTATGCAATATCCATCTCACATTAGGTGCAATATATGTATTTAATATAATGATTGACAATATCATTCCATGAACTGCTTATTTATGCCAAACTGATTAATCAGACAGTTTATATTTATTTATTTATATCATTGGTTATTATTGTATAAATTTTTACCAGAGACATTTTTTGTCTCTGTCTTTATGAATGTTGACCCAAGCTGCCCATTGGGGGTAGTAATGGGTGACACTCAGATATAATGTATACTGTGTCTCATAAGTCGGCACCGGCTGGTGATGTTACAAAATGTTGTTTTTATTATGTATTTTATATGTATATTGTAATATCAGTGACACAAAAATAAACTATTTTAAACTAAAACTAAACTAAAACTAGTGTGTAAACTGAGCTAAAGTTAGTTTACATATTCATATTCACACCAAAGTGAAAACTCAGTATATACAAACGAATCATTATAGGTATTTCTTAGGTTCAGAGACTGCACAATTTGGTGATACAAGCCTCTGTGACGAGGCTCATACTCGAGAGCTCCGCCAAATATAACTGAAGCGGTTATGATTTTTACAATATGTGTTAAAGATCCACCTTAAATGTTTTAAGTAACGTTGTTAAATTGATTTGTGATTTATAAACAAAAATTCTTCACATATTGAATCCAATTAAATGTTTAAGCTTTCCTTTAACATCCACATTTTTTCCAGCTTACTATGAAGAATCGTGCATTGTCAACAACCCATATTTTGAGGGAAACCGACCAGACTGCGAATCCTGTAAACACGAGAGACGAATCGCAATTACTGAAAATATAACATCCTCAAAATTTGATCTACACTATGCATCTTCAACTAAAATCCTCAAAATTAAGGTTAGGAAAGCTTGGTATCTCGGTCTCTTGTATTTAAGCTGACTGATTTGCATGTGGTTTGGCAGCTAATAGGTTGAATAAGAGAAACATTGAACTCCGGGAGAACTCCCTCCTTTCAACCACGATAAACGCAAGTCATAGCTGCAAGATCCTTTCATTCATACTGAATATGGAAGAAGTTCAAATGATCATTGCCCCTTTCTAATTTGACGGGTAAATTCAAATTGATCGCCATTTCTTTAATGTTATGTGGTATTCTAGTATTATTAAATTGTAGTTCAAAAAACGCAACCCAAAGAAATCATTATATCTTGGAAAATACTAATTGGAAAGAAAGGAGAGACTATGTGTATAACATCCTGTTGTTAGTTAGTTGAAAAACATGATGCCTTGGACATCTGCTCAAAAGACATTAGTATTAGAAAAATACGAAAAACGCTACCCTTTGCATTCGTTTGACTTCACTTCTTAAAAGAGAGCTTCGTCTTTAACTAGACTCTGCACGCAGGGTAGAAAAACGCTGTTATACGTAGGTGACTGCCACAGCGTTAAAACCGGATAACTTTCTAATCAAAGTCTTTTGGCACTTCAGATTTAACACAAATTTTCCTCATTCAATGTGTGGTGAATTTGTGGAGCTTCATCAAAATCACTCAAGGGACTTTACAGTCATGGTCAAAATACAGTTTTAAGTCTGCCTGGACCAGGGCGTTTGACTGCGTTTTGAAAACACTTCGAAACTAAATGAATAACGATTCGAAAACAGTTCTATTTGCATTAGAATTTCGATAGTATTTGGTATGAAATGATCATATGGATTTTATTTCAGAATGCTTTAAAAAAGAAAGTCTCATTTGAAGATTTAAAGGCTTCCTATGATGAGAACAAAGCAACATACCATGCTACAGCAGGATTCGTATCAAGTAACCCTGATGTTCAATCCATGGATGAACTGTTTAAACAGGAAGACTCCACTCTTCAAAACATACATATAGAAGGGTAAATAAAATCAATTTTGTATCAGCTATTAACTTTTCATATTTGATGATCATATATATTTGACTTGCCAATTAATTGGATGACTACAAATTGTTTCAGTTGTTGTGAGATGAAAAAAATATGGGGAGAATAGCTTTTTATATATTTTTGAACAGTATTTGTATATAGATGGTCGCTAGATCGTTCATTATGTACTTCCGCCATCTATATTATAAATATTCATACTTTTACACTCATATTGATAATTTAAGTGGGTGATGGATATAACAGAATCTTTGAAAGCTAAACTAAACTACAATGTATAGTGTCATTTATTTTGATTCTGTTTACAGCAATTATAGGAAGGTTAGCACGGCTAAAGCGTTGAGACAACTGTTCCCACGTCCTGATTTTATACCCGCTGATGTGGAGGTGTCATTGGACAAAGCAATATTTATAGATGGACCAAAATCACCACTTTATACATTGGTAAGGGGAGTCTCTACTCTTAGATTGGCTTTTTATTGTTTTAAAATAGCCTTTTTACGTCGAGCATACACTAAAAACAATACAGAATGCACTTATATTACGAACAAGTTCTGTTTTGCTGGAATGCATGTGTAGCATGCCTATAGCAATGCGTTCTTGATATAAACATTCAAAAATATTATTTCATATATTTTCAGATAACAGGTACACCTCATTTCCAAAATATTTGGTATGCCCAAGGGAGTGGCAGTAGGTTACTGAGATTCCGACCGTACGAGCATTGCCTCTCAGAATGCAGCATAATGGAGCACATCGTTGAGGAAGGAGACATAGGTTCGTTATAACAAGCGTTCACGTTTTGAATCCACTAATATTAATTAACGATGCCAGATTATAAAGGTCTCTTTAACTATGACTGTAAACCGGAAGAACAACCATTTTACGTTAATACTAATCTAGTTAATATTCTAAATAAAATATATTTTTTACTTTATTCTTAATATATTCATCACTTCACTTCTGAAGCTGTAACATGTATTTGTTTTGCTTGCAGTGTATTGGAATGACGTATTCTGGAAGGTCGATTCACTACCAGTACATGGGGAGTACAAAACAACCATCTCATTCATAGCTAACTTTTCCTGAGGACAATATAACTTGCAGAGTAAATCATCAATGTTTATGGAAATATTTTAAACTCTACAATGATACGATGAAAAAAAACACGATAAATAGTTATAAATTATATATTTTACATATATATTTTACAAGATTTATAATAAATAATAAATAAAAGATAATAACAAAATCTGAATCGATATCCTGATTATTCTATTCCTCTATTGTCAATTGGTAGTTTTGCTAGTGTCAATGCATGTGATATGCAGTCCAAAAGAAATCTGCATGATTCTTGAGACCACCGAATACTTGGTGGAAGTATATATTGAATATATATACACATATTACATATTCAAAACCATTTTCACTCTATCATGGATTATGTGCCAATGGATGTGCTTGTTTTTTCGATAGAGAACTTGACGTATCATCATCTGACATTGAATCAGTATACACCAGAAGATTACAAAGATTACTTCAAATATTTACACAAAACGCATAATTCATGTACTAATGGGAACTGAGATGCACAAATTTCCGTCAACATAAAAGAATAGAAATATTTGCTTATCATATGGGTGTCATCTCTATAACCATCTCTATTTTATATGATAATACAAGTTAATTCTCGTAATAATATAATCTTTATAGATACACATTTAGTGGATGAACATTTATTTGGACTATGTAGATGCCCTCATTGTTTTTCAAGGGACCTTATTACAACCATTCCTCTCACGTTCACGTGCAAGTAATTCTCTTAACGTTCTCCCTAATATGACAATTTCAACATCTACAATAACGCTGTACACATATTCAACGGAGATTGTTTACACCGAACATAGTGGTTGCTTACATGAAGCCGTCATCCAACCCTTCGTATTTCTCTTTCTTACGCTTGTCACGCCATTCACGGATCCTTTGTTTGAAATCTTCAATGTCAAGCTTAGCCTGAAATTAATTTTTTACATTAGCCTATAAACCACAAAAGTATATAAATTGTGAAACAATATAAAATATGTGTTTTCGTTTGCCGAATTTTATGATTATACTTGAATGATTGTGTATGGTTCGAGTAAGTGTATGCTTACTTTTACCGAATTTTGCTGTGATTCTAAAATTTGATTGTGTATCAGAAAGATAGCGATTCGTAGTATACTTGTTTTGTAAATAAACTATGTATGCACCTGGGCGATGTCCTTTTTGAAGGTGATCATATCCAGAGTCACAAAGCCCGCTGCGATCACTGCAAGCACAGATAGGAACCCAATGGCGTATTCCCTCCCATCACTAACCTCACTGGGTGTTGTATCTTTCACCGCTATGCCAAGTGGAGGGAAGTAGGGATAGGCTGAAAGTAGGGACAAAAGTGTTACTGGGTGTCGTACTGTTCACCGCTATACCAAATGGAGGGAAGTAGGGTTAGGCTGAAAGTAGGGACAAAAGTGTTACTGGGTGTCGTACTGTTCACCGCTATGCCAAATGGAGGGAAGTAGGGTTAGGCTGAAAGTAGGAACAAAAGTGTTACTGTCTAGGTGTCGTATCTTTCAACGCTATGCGAAGTGGAGGGAAGTAGGGATAGGCTGAAAGTAGGGACAAAAGTGTTATTGGGTGTTGTATCTTTCACCGCTATACCAAATGGAGGGAAGTAGGGATAGGCTGAAAGTAGGGACAAAAGTGTTACTGGGTGTCGTACTGTTCACCGCTATGCCAAATGGAGGGAAGTAGGGTTAGGCTGAAAGTAGGGACAAAAGTGTTACTGGGTGTCGTACTGTTCACCGCTATACCAAATGGAGGGAAGTAGGGTTAGGCTGAAAGTAGGGACAAAAGTGTTACTGGGTGTCGTACTGTTCACCGCTATGCCAAATGGAGGGAAGTAGGGTTAGGCTGAAAGTAGGAACAAAAGTGTTACTGTCTAGGTGTCGTATCTTTCAACGCTATGCCAAGTGGAGGTAAGTAGGGATAGGCTGAAAGTAGGGACAAAAGTGTTATTGGGTGTTGTATCTTTCACCGCTATGCCAAATGGAGGTAAGTAGGGCTAGCAGGCCTGTCAACTTGGGAACACCTAACATGAGTGACTTGGAAATGTTGAACACCTCCCCTTAAAATGTGGACACCTTGGTCCAAATCTGAACACCTTGATCCAAATTTTGAACACCTTGGTTTAAATTTTATTACATCTTGCCAAATTTTGAACAACTCAAATTTTTCGGGGGGGGGGGGGGGGTAGGTACGAAAAATTTCGAACGGAATGCGTGACATATACGTAATTCGCTGAAAAGTCCGAACGAAATGCGTACGTTTTTTAGAAATTTTTCTACAGAAATATTTTTGCTTGACAATTACAAGGTATAATGCGTATTTGCGTGACATTTTCTGTCACGCAAAAATAACTGGCGTGACTTCAAATTCTTCAGCAAATGCGTGACAAATACGCAAATTGCGGGACAGTTGACAGGCCTGGGCTAGGCTGAAAGTAGGGACTAAAGTGTTATTGGGTGTTGTATCTTTCACCGCTATGCCAAGTGGAGGGAAGTATTGTAGGGGGTCATTAATCCCTTTCTAGTCCAAAAATATTAGACAAGAAAGATCATGATGGAAAATGTAATACTGTACTACTCTTTTGTTGCTAATTATTAATTTGTCACATTGATATGCATGGTAATAAGGAACATATCTCCAAATACTGACATATTTCATTTGCCTTTACGTGTTTACTTACGAGTGCATGTTGGGAACGTAGCATTCCAATATACGCCAAATATGCCGTTATCCGTGGCGTTGACGCCGCAATAAAGTTCCATCACTCCTGCTGTACGGTATGTGTCGTTTATACACATATAGTTTAACCTTCCCTCAAACAGAGTGCTAGTGACATTATATGTGGCGTTATCAACCTGCATTGGGGGCCCACAGTCCAATCCTAGAATCAGGAATAAATCAACGTTTATCAATAGGGATCATTAACAAACTGATACAGTTTTGAATTTGACATATATTTTTCTTGCCATCCAGATTGTCATATTAATTACTGAGTAGCATTTTAAGATTTTTAGTTGATCGAATATAAAACCCAGATCCGAACGCATTGTGAGACCAAACTTTAAATCCAAGATTCCCAAGTTTTTGATCTGAAAGCAAATCTTCTTCATGTCACAAATGTTTTCAATGGAATCAAAAGTTGTCTAGGATTTCTTCTTTACTTCAGTGAAACTTCGCAATTAAATATCATAAATACTAACTCACGTTCACAAATAGGAGGACTTGGGTGCCACTCCTTGTCTTCCTTGCACTCTATGGTCAATCCTCCTATCCCTTGCATATGGCCAAAGCCAGGGTCGCATCGGTACCTAACAATATCTCCAAAGTAATGCCCTTGCCCAATCCACTTGGAGTCCGTCACATTCGGTATACTTTCACAACTCACCCCTAGAAAGGGCAACTTTTGGTTTATCTTTGAAAAGTAGGGCTATGATGAAAAGGGCAATGATAGATAGAAACGACAATAGAGGCTTTTCCATATAGCTTTTGAATCTCGCTAAAGTCTCGTTTTTAATGAGATTTTAGGAGATCTGCATTTTTCAATCACTCAAGACTAACATTTTCTTCTATTTGAATTCTGTGTGTTATTTTTTTTTCAAAACAACTTTGATTTGCACTGTTATTTACCTTTATTCAAATTCTAGAGATTTTCAAGTTTTCTAAAAATGGTCGCACTAAATCCCCATTCACACAATGTTGAAAAACCTTTAAAAGTTCATTTACTCTTACAAATATCACAATTTTGATGTGAAATCACAATCCATATGTCAATAAAATCATATATTCCAATGGTGTTTTAAGTTGATCCAAATGGAATTACTTGTTAAATCAAGAAATTAAGTGACTCTTGCTATTAATTTGCCGTGTAATTTAGCCCTACCAATTCCCATGATGCCATCTATTTTTCCATTTATAAGGAAAAGAGTCAATTATTATTACTTTCACATATAGGAGTGTCACCGGTCCATTTTTTGTTTCCTTGGCAAGTTCTGCTCAGGTCCCCTTCGATGACTTCATGCCCGAAATCACACGTGTATGTAACCGTATCTCCATATTTGGTATCAGTTCCCAGGCGCATGGCATTCCCTACATAGTCAGGCTCTCCACAATCAACGCCTGCTCACAAATTAAAAGAACATGGAATGTGTCTATTTTCACTTTTAACTTATGAAAATTATGGATGTAGACTTGCTTTGATATATCATACATCAAAGAATTGAGGATTTGACTTGTTAAATCTCATAACTGATCACGATAATGCTATCACATCCAATGTAATAGTGCAAGCAAGTATAGTTCTTACGTTTACAGTTTGGAGCAGTGTTATCCCATATCTTTTCTTCCAGACATCGTCGAACGTGTTTTGACAATAAGGTTGTGAGTTCGTAGCCTTCGTTACATACATATATCACCTCGTCATCAAACCGGAACTTTACATCTGGATCGATGCTAGATATCTGGATGATATTGTCAGGGTCGGGATTTCCAGGGTCTCCACACCATACACCTAGATGGTGTCAAAAGAAAGTACATTTCATTGACAGTTGTCAGTGGCTACAGGATTTGTACTCTGTGTGTATATGAAATACTTACGTTTGCACTCTAGAATGCTTCCACTCCAAGTTCTGTCTGCTTTGCATGTCCTTGCATATGTACCATCTACGTATTCAGTCCCCTTATCACACGTGTATCGTACTGTATCCTTGAATTTGTAGTTAACGTCTGCGCTATGCGGAGTGGCAAGAATTCCTTTACCAGGATGGCCACAGTCTATCTCTGAAAACACATTAGATCGATGGTTTGTTTGTACCCCTTAATATTTAGTAGTTCTCCTTTCTTCCATCTTGATTTGATGTTCACATTTTCCTGTTTTTATATGAACGTATGTTTCCCTAGAACACTGTTACTGCACTCTTCAAACTTGTTACCAAAACAGTCCGTTTCTGTAATAGAATTAGTTTGAAGAATGCAGTTCCAGTGTAGGGGAGGACTTCCTGTCTGTCTATTAGATATATAGGATTCTGTTTATGTTCTAAGAATACCAGGGCACTGGCACACCTACTTTCACATTGAGGAGGTTCTCCTGTCCATGTCTTGGTCTTTTGGCACACACGGATGCCGTCACCGCGGACCACCCCGTAGCCGTACTGGCAGACGTAGGTTATCGCGTCACCGAAAAGGAAGCCATCGCCCGTCTTGGAGGCTAGTTCAATATCTCCTGGATCCCCACATGTAATTCCTGTAATAAAAGATGAGAAAATATCAATTTACCAGAGTGTTTTAAGATTAAAAAAATAGTACCATGCCCATGGGTACTGAGCTCACATGGGAAGGTTTCAACATTTTTTAATATTTAACATTTGGAGCTAAGAATAAAGGTTTTTTGATACAGGAATTTTGTACAAGTACTTGGTTAGCCAAAATTGAAAACATTGGTATTAACTTGGATCAAAAAATACCAATGAAAATGGCGGACATTTTGAATCACTGTGACATATTGTGCTGAAACTTGTTATTGATAGCCCATAAATTATACTTTATGTGCTTAGGTACAAAACCATTTTCATTTTTGTAGCGATGTAGACAGCCATATTGGATTTTCATATCTAGAGACAAAACTAGGATCTTTGACCATTAAGACAAAGTCTTAGAATATATGTGGTCACAAACGGTTTGGGGGCAATTTTGAAAAAAAGGCAAGAACACCCAAAAAGCTACACCCACTGTGCCAATGCTTTCACAACTCTGGATGTGCATATCTTGCCAAACATCACCATGGACATTGTTCCCTTCATTTAATACTGATGATCAAAATTTAGGACCGAAATTGAAGGCTCTAGGCTCTAAATTGCATTGTATATTTATTTACCTCTAATTAATAGAGAGTTACATAAAGCTACATAATAGGATAACAAAACGTTCTCTTGACTTGTTTGTATTTCTAGAGTAATATGCAACACGTCTTTCATGAAATCCAGGACTAAGATTGATCGTTATACTTTTGAACCCTGTACCCTAAATCATGAAGAGAATCTCTTTGATTTTAAAATATGATTTATACATGCTTTCCAGGTTTATTATGAAAAGGATGGCCGGTACGAAGAGAGAATAGATTCTTTGTAAAAATCCCCAACATTCTGTACGCGCGCATGACATATTGACACGTTAATATATGGAGGCTCTTAAAGGTTAATTTCATTACAATTTTAGAGATGGGCGCAGTGCAAGTAACTGTGAACTCATTCCCTCTGAGATAAATAAAGCTGAGAAAAGGAAATACCATCGGAAATAGTAAAATACAATCGTACTGCATCTGAGGTGATTTGTTTTATTTTCGGCAGGTCATATTTAAAACTCTCTTGTTATGCAAGAACATAAAGGCAAACGCATTACAAAGAAAGGTTATCCATGTATTTATTGCTGTACATTTGTACCAA